TTTCCAACCTTAATGATTCTATGATCTCTAAACATGCTCTCAGGATCCCAAATCTCAGAATTTCCTTAGCAAAATGACTCAAACCATAAATTCACCAAGTTCATGAATCCCTTCTATCCAACCTACCTTTTCCTGCTAGAAAGTTCTCAGCAACTGAATGAAATGTGAACAAAAGTCAGGGTCAGCACCTAAGACCTCTCTGGCTGTCAGCTGCCTAGCAAACTCTTAACATCCCAAAGCTCAAACACTCATGCGTACAGGAGGTGCAACACCTATTAAAATTACTGCTCCTACTTTACCTTTGACAGTATACGAACCATGTGTTGAATTAGGCAATGGAAACGAGCCAAATTCATTGTACCAGAACAAATCAAGAAATGCCACAGTAGGCTGCACATTGTATAGGCCTGATCTAATTCATCCACAAACATTTGGAATCACTGAATAATTATTCTCCAATTCTTCTTTTTTTCCATGGTAAAACAAGTATCAGACTACATTAATTTCTTTGCAAACATCATGACATACTGCAAAAGTCAGCAAGAAAACACAGATAGAAAAAGTGTGACCTTGTCTTAACTAGTTATGCCTCTGTAACTGCTTATGTGCAATGGTAAGTATGAACTAATTTAACCCTAATGCAAGACAGAGTCATTCATCATCTAACAATGACTCTTCTATATGGCCACTGCTATACGGGAAGTTAAAGCAGTTTCCTAGACCGTGGCAATCTTAACATGTTTTCAATTTCATCTACTTTGTTTTTTCCTCTGTCTGTCTTCCCTGGAAATCCTTTTATCATTTATTATTCATGAAATCACAGTACACAGCCTTAGACATAGACTGAAACTTCACCATATTAAGTGCTTCACGAAAAAAGAGCAAAGAGACAGACCCTACCTTTAAGAACTTGCCGTAAACATAACTTAAGAGAGAAGAAATTAAACAGAGAGGCAAGCATATAAGGAGACATTAAGATACAGTAAATTATCAATACTGGCAGTGGTCCCAAGACATCAACAGCCTATCAGATGTCATACAGACACATAAAAAGAATTCAAAGATACTGCTAAATAAACATTTATATCCCTTCCAAGCATTTGGAACAGCACGGTAGAAGCACGTGAGCGCATGTGTGTATTTATGTAAGATTGTGTTTGTCAAAGCCAGAGAAAAGAAAGTTTTGATGCATGAAATGAGAGCATGCACAAGACACTTGGATATACAGGCAAGTCTGTACTTCAGAGATGCAATACTAAAAACTGCACGACTGAATCTGAAGGTGCAAAGTGAAGGTCCATTCAAAGATGAAACTCAAATTATACATCACAAGACCGGCAAGTGACGCTAACCAAGGAAAAACGACAGGGTTAACAAGATAACTTAAAGGAAGAGAATAGGAACTTTGTTTTAAATGCACAAAGAGCAGCCAAAAGCTAACTACCAGAAGCTGATATTGGGGAAAAAGAAAGCTCTGGCTGACTTATCCTTTCTTGGGAGTCTTATGCTATAGCGCATCCAGTCAAATTCCTTGGTTCCCTCCAGCTTAGTAGCAATACAGGTAACTTTCCCCTGTCCTTTTTAACTCTAGCAGCCATGACAGCTCTTTATTGGTAGCAGTGGTATGGAAAAGAGAGAAGTTGTTTCAGAGAACTAACTCCTATATTTAGAACTCATGTTCTTAAGAACACTGTTTTTAAGATACAGAAGGTGAACAGGAAGGCAGTTGGGCTATCCTATGTACAGCTTTCAACTTGTAGTGGGGCAGAAGCTGCAACCTGAAAAGCACTTTTATCACAGAAAACATGTGCTCCCTAGGAGAAGTCAGTATAGTCGTTTTATAGAGTAACAGTTGAAGAAAATACTTAAGCAGAAAATAACAGAACAAATTAAAAGCACTGGCATTAGAAACAAATGAACTGAGTAAGTAGTTCAATGACAATGAGTCATTGCATACAGCAGTCGGTATCAACAGTCAAGACTGTCCCTTACTTAATGTCACTGAGCACACCCACTTGTTTGCACATTCTCCTATATGCTTGAAGATGATCATATCCAGTGTCTTTACACCACTTTAAATAATGCTTTAAAATATGCTTTTATTAATCTGTTTCAAAGACTGACAAACTTTTAGATACAAGCCCATGCATTCACATTACTGTTACAGTATTGCCAGTCCCAAAATACAGAGAAGCTTAGTCACACCACTAAGCATGACGTTCTGGCTTTAAACAAAACATCACAGTTTCTGAGATTTCAAGTCTGTTGTTCCTCATTTTAATTTGTAAACTCTTTGGGATCGAAATCTACTCGTTTTTTTCAAGCTTAAGTTGATATCTAAGTGCAGTTACCTGAAACTATGAGCAAGGACTCCAAATATAACACCCATATATTCATGAGAAAATCTTGCGAGATAAAAATAATTTCTGTGTTACCTGTGTGAATGCGACTATGTCTCTCCAGCTGACTTGGCTTAGCGAAAGCTTTTTCACAAGTATCACACTTAAACACTCTAGGCTTCTGGGAACTCAGTGAAGGTCCAGCCTGATGGGTTTGCATGTGTTCCTAAGCCAGTATAGAAAAAAATACATTTCAGATCATTTAAAAAAACTTCAGCATTTAACATAGAAATATATTCACACTTTGAAAACAAAAGCAGAGGATCTCAGTCATCAGCAGACAAGCTGGAAGAAGATGGAAGCCTGCATTTTTTTCTTCTTATAAATGAGAGATTGTTTTTGTATATAATCTCTTTGCAAGGCTGATGCATCAGTATCTTTACAGTTCTGAAAACCTCTGTCAATAACTGTATGCATTGCTTTTTTTGCATACATTAGTCCCTTCAATAATTATCTGAAGCAAAATAAAATAAAAAAAAAACCTTACAAACATGGATTTTGGACAACTGTGCATTGTAAGTTAATACTGGATTTTTTCCCTCCCCTCTACAGCATTCATCTCCCCACCTTGCCTGATACGTAGGTATTCCTACTCAGCACAAGTTTTGTTTTAAAATCATACAGGCCTCAAAGAGGGGACTATCACAACATATACACATGCAGCCACACCATGTCAACGTGCAAATAGAACAATTTCACAATGAACTCTTAAATTAATAATAAAAAAAAAATCACTAAGGTCCTTACAGCTAAGAAAGCAGAAGGAAGGTATGACACATTTTACCTTTAAGAAGCAGCATTAATAACAGTTCTAACTTCAGTGTTTCTAATTCACTGATGCTGGGCCCAGAAGTTTTGCAAATTTAAAGGAGTATCTTATGTAATCTATTAACTTTTTCATTTAAATCTCTTTATTAATACCAAGATACAATTCAGATTACAAAGGAAAGCAAATACAAACATACTTATTTTAAAAATCTAATCAAGAACTGTATGTGAAACAGTACTGTGAGTACTTGTCCACTTTCTAAAAGGTGTGTGGATATTCTTTACTATTCTACTCATTACAGACTAAAGACTATTAATTAGTCTTTATTACACCTAAACAATAAGGCTTCTTGATGTCTAAGAGGTCCTATTCCTGACTCCATGAACTGAAGAAAATTGTGTCTGCAGAATTTGTTTTCCCTGTCATGGTTTAACCTGGAAAATTTGTGAGACAGTAACAGGGGAGAACATTATTATCATAGTAATTATAGTAATATAGTATTATAGGGAAATAATAAAAGGTCTTCTCAGAAAATCACAGGAGATTCATAAACCACAGCTTACTTGGAAATGAAGAAAATCTTTTGCTTTTATCTTGTTCATTACCTCCTGAAGCATTGAAAGGGTGGAAGCAGGCTATGACCTACTCCAGAAAAATTACCTGAAACTGGCTGCTTCTTTCTGTCCACCACAAAAAAAACCCCCAACCCTAAAAAACAAAAAAACCACCCCCAAAACCCCAAAAATCCCCCACCCCGTTTTCTACTTGAAAGCAAACGGGAGAGCATCCAGATAGCCGCCATAAAACTTTCTCTATCACCTTTCTCTGAAGAAACAGTCTGTGATGCAATTCTGTTCCACTGATCTGCCAATCCCTTATACTTTTCCTGTAAAATATATGCTTTTGAAAATAGTTAATGGGAATACAATGCTCTGAAGTGCAAGCACTTCTTTATAGACATACTTCGTATTTCTTTGATTGTTCATATGATGTTTTACAAGTTTATTTGTGTAATTCTCGTATTTTTCAGATAGGAAGTATCTTGGGGTCCCAAACGAGCATTATCTAATTAGAAAATAAGAACAGGAAACCTTCTTTGCAAGGGCCCTTTAAACCCCAACTCATGCATTGGTATGCAACCCTTCTGCCCCACCTATCTTGAAACATTACTTGTAACTGCCTCTGGAAGTATGGCAATAAAAAGTTCGTTTCATTCCATTGTTTTAATAAGATTACAGCCTCACTCTATTTTCATCTTAGAATGATGTCCGTGCTTTATTTACTATTTACAGTCACCTTGCATGTATTTCCACTATCTAATGATTTGGAAATGGATAGTTTAGTCACTGCACATGTCTCAAGAGTCTCCTCTCTGAAGCTGTAAAATCAGGACAGTCGCCAGCATCAGAAGGGAAACCGAAGACACTGGACTGAAAATTTTTGACACCGGGGGTGAGGTGAGTGGTGGGGGTGTTTGGACATAATCTCTAAAGAAGCTTTTCTTGTGGATAATTGTAAAATTGCTGGTACTGATGGCTTTGGAAAAAACAAATACAGTTAAGAACTGCCATCAAAAAATTGGTACCCTTACCTCCTACTGGGTTTTTCTGGAAAGCCTGAAGTTTGGCAGCGGTCTTAATATTTTTGGTGATCTCCAGAATACCATCAGGACAAAATGAAGGCCCTGAGTAAGAGGGAACCCTTCCCAAAACCCTAAGCCAAAACCTATGGTTTCATTTATCTTTAACTTCCTGTTAAAGGCTACTCACGGCTGATGTTCTGGAACGCCTTAATGAAGAAAAGAGTTTGATGAAGAGATGGAATTTGTTTTCTGACATGATGGCCAAGTACTAAATGAAACTCTTTTTCTGTTTAAAACATCCTCTCCTCCTCCCCACCAAAAGTGAAAAACGATGATTTGAGAATTCATTTTGAAAGGCTGAGAGAGTTGGGGTTATTCAGCCTGGAGAAGAGAAGGCTTCAGAGAGACCTGACTGCAGCCTATGAGTACTTAAAGGGGGCTTATAAGAAAGATGGGGACAAACTTTCTAACTTTTGTTGCGACAGGACAAGGGGGAATGGTTTTAAACTAAAAGAGGGTAGATTTAGACTAGGTATAAGGAAGAGATTTTTTACAATGAGGGTGGTGAAACACTGGAACAGGTTGCCCGGAGAGGCGGTAGATGCCCCATCCCTAGAAACATTCAAGGTCAGGCTGGACGGGGCTCTGAGCAACCTGATCTACTTGAAGATGTCCCTGGTCACTGCAGGGGGATTGGACTAGATGACCTTTAAAGATCCCTTCCAACCCAAACTATTCTATGATTCTATGATTTTGACTCTCATCATGAGAAATCCTGGATTGGGTTTGTACAGGATACAGAGAAAACCTTCCTGAAATAAGCTTTCACAGCCACTAGTTGGACTGATAAAGATCAAACTGTTACGCTGGTCGAAAGAGAGTAATAGTGCTTCCATAGGTTCAGCTGTATCAAACTGCAAACTTCTGCTACATTTTTGATGAAACTATCCAAAAACTTAGCTGGTCACTCTGCTGGTTTGTGTATGTCTGTATGTGTATATGGGAAAAGAAACTGTTGAAACTTCCTCATCATCTGGTGAGGTTCACTCTCCAATTTTTACATATACATGCAACATTATCCTCCCTTTTTAGGAACTAACAAAATGCAATCTTTTGCAAACGCTGATGTCTTTGGATCTGAAGGTTGAAAATGGTCCACCGCACTGAGCAGGAAGTGTTTCCCGGTATAAAGCCGCGGTTTAAAGACGCATCCCAAATAAAGCAAATAAGGCTGTCTTTCACATCAGAAAGTACCCATTCAAGAAATCAACTTTTAAATATAAATATTTTTCTATCATTACCTAGCCTTATCTAAAAAGAATGTTTTTCTCCATGTTATTCCTGATTTGAGTTGAACTGCAGATTTTTTTCAAATCTCTTTTTTGCAGAGAAAGTTCATAGAGTCATTTAGGTTGGAAAAAACCCTTAAGATCATCGAGTCCAACCGTAAACCTAACACTGCCAAGTCCACCACTAAACCATGTCCCTAAGCACCACATCTGCACGTTTTTTAAATACTTCCAAGGATGGTGACTCAACCACTTCCCTGGGCAGCCTGTTCCAATGCTTGGCAACCCTTTCAGTGAAGAAATTTTTCCTAAAGTCCAATCGAAACCTCCCCTGGT